TAGAGGCGCAGATACCGATCCTTGAGGTACTCCCGCGTGGATTGGTGATACTTCGCATAAGGAGAAGCCAGATCGAACGGCGAAATGTCTGTTTTCTAGATAAGATTTTAATAAAAGAAAATAGTATGGTGGAAGAATAGATTTGAGTTTGAAGAGTAGGCCATTATGCCATACTCTGTCAAATGCCTGAGACACGTCAAGGAAGGCAGCTGTGCAAATAAGCTATTTTTCAAGAGTATAGGATATTTTATCCACTAGGCGATGGACTTGGTGTATTGTGGAGTGGTTATGACGAAATCCAAATTGGGTATTAGGTATGCTCGCTTCTACGATAGGAAGGATACGTTTTAGGATAATTCTTTCAAACATTTTTGAAAATAGCGGAATAAGACTAATGGGCCTATATGATTCGGGAGAGTCGGGAGGTTTGCCAGGCTTGGGGATCATAATGATGATTGAGAATTTCCATAAAGCCGGGAAGTATGCCAGTCTAAGTATAGAGTTATAGATGTGAGTTAAGAGAAGTAAAGTTTTTTTGGAAAGTTGTTTTGCTACCTCAGCTGTGATGAGGCTTTTGTAATGAGGAGAGTTCCTTATCGCATTTTCAACATCGCTAGGTCGAACATGTTTAGGTGGGAGAGTCATGGGTAGAGGATAGGAGAGAGAGAGAGTGGTTTACTTATTCGATTTGAGAAGGAGAGAGAATATTGTTGTGTGGTTGGAAGGTTATAATGTTTTTAAATCGATAAAATGGCATAAACAACAAACTAGCGAAAAATATAATATAGTGTCTCAGCTTCAAGATTATTACAAATATATATAAATTGTATAAAAAAAACCAGCTATGTAAATAAAATCACGTAGGCGAGCTTGTAAAATATAACTAGATATTACTCTTCGACAATTCGCCATTGAATGTAAAACTAATAACTAAAAACTATTGTACATATGTAATTATGTTAAAACAAATTCAACCAGCCATGGTAATAAATTAACACAGGCACTCTCCAAATAAAATTCGATTTTATAGTTTTGGTCGAAATATAAGCTCATTGTCAAGACACGATAAAGTCACTTCTAAACTGTTGATTCGTCAAGCTGATCAATTTAAGCTTCATCTTAAAACATTTCAGATTATTTAAATAATTTTAGAAAACTATCAACCTTTAACAATCAAACATTGACACTATCAAGCTTCAAAGCTGTTAACACGCTTTTCATCAGGTATGGAAAAATGTTTACTCTTTTATTTTCAGTGTGTATTCATTAGGCTACAAAATAGTATTTTCAATTTTGTATCTTAAATACATCTGAAGTCTAAGCTATTTTATATATCTTGTATTTTTAATAGCTTATAGATATAAATACTATTTTTTTAAAAATTAATGGTACCTAATTTCCTAAGACGTTACTGTTTTATGTTTAAACTTGAATTAAAATGTCATACTACTAGTGTATGAAGTTTTTAGTTAATAAGTTAATAGATATAAGCAAACCTTCTGAAAAATCATTACAAGTATTTTTTTTAAAAAAGGTTTAAAGTGTTTAGGACTTTTCATAACCAAAAGTGATAAAAGTACTTTCAATTAAACGCTTCAATACAAAACTTTAGATAGTAAAAATTAAATTATATTATATATTTAATTGACGGTAAATATTATGTTTATAATTATGTTTATTCATTCAACTGTATCCAATGCACAAAAATATTAATTTTGTTTTGAGGAATTTTCTTGATAAAAATAAATATGCTTTTAAATGTATTATTGTTTGCAGATAAATATGAAACTTTTCTGTTTTTTAATATCATTTGTTTTTGTAAATGTTGCGGCAGATATAAGTAACTACTTTATTGTATTACACGAGGTATTTAAAAATCTAAATAAATTGTCATAATTGACTTTTTTTTGCAGCAGCTTATATGAGGGAGGTTGACATGACAAGTCAGTTAAATTTATTATCATACAAGTTAACTATTGAGATTTTTATTTTACTGTTTTTATATATATTTTTAAAATAATTATTTATTTTAGACAGATACATTCATAGCGCTTTTGAATATAAAAACATTTTGGTTGCAAGTAAGATATATGTCAAGATAATATATAATAGTTTTGTTGTGTTTGCTTGATCTTCAAATTATTTGTAAATTAAATATTATAGTTTTTATTAACCGTCAAGATTAAACAATAGATTAAGAGTGAAAACTTGTGAAAAATTGAGATCACGTTGTACAAAAACAATATGAAAAAAAAAATTAATTTCTTATTAAACCCTATGAGATATTGAGTGGCTTATGATAAAAAAAAATCACCCTGTATTTAAATAATGAAAATCAATTAATTTATATTTATTTTAAAAGTAGTAGTCTCTGTAATTTATCAGAAGCACACTTAACTCTTGGTAATTTACGATAAGTTAAATGGCCATCGCTTAAAACACAGTGTAATCGTATTCTGAATTTATATCTATTATGATTTTATTTTAAACTTTTTTTATTGCTCAAACCCTTATTTATTTATTCTAGACGGACTGGAACACGTAATTAAAACACTTGTTCACGAAAATCGATATACAATGAGTAATAAAAATTACTACAATAACGACAAAAATTTAAAGATATCTTGCTAGTATATAAGTTATATAAATATTTATCAATAATGTATATGTTAACAAATTTATCAGTGTCACACATCTTAAATTATACTTTAAAATTTAAATGGAAACTTTCTGAAAAAGAACACTGGGGTTACACCTTTGTCGACTTCATCTATATGCCACATCTGCTTCAACTCAGCCATTATAACAGCCGTCGAAAATCCTGCTTTGTTTATTTTTCGCTAGAAGGCAGGAGAACTTTTGTGCTATCGTGTACCCAACATTTCTTCTCTGAACTTTCGTTTCTCAACTTTTAACTTCAGTGATTCATACCACTTTTGTTTTTAACGGCTAATGTTACCATAAAGTTTCTACTCTACACATATATAAAATAATCTAACTCTTTCTTTCGAATTACTCCTTCAAATATCTATATAACCCTGATCTTTGTCTTTTAACACATAATGAAATCCAATACAATTACATTATGTAATGTTAATTTCAGATCAATTGAATTTTATGGTCGCTGTACCAGGTAATAACATTCATTGAATTTTATGGAAATATTTCCACACAGTGGTTTGATACTCATTAGGTGTACAATGTTTTCCTATTCATTTCAGAACGTGCAAGCCTTACTAACAATAACATACAGGGTAACCCTATTTAAATTTACAATTCCTTAATCGGATTTATTATTTATAAATATAAAAGACTGATTTAATCAATGTCATGCGTTTTGGTGCAAATTTTATAGATATTAAGACAGTACAATCCTAAAGCAATCTAAACTAGTACAGTACAAATCAAATTCAATTAAAATCAGTGCAGTTCAAACCAATCACAGCCAGCACATTAAAATCCAAATTAACCACAATATATACCAAGCGCAGTATAATCTGGCACACTATGAAATTACCAAAATGCTGTCCAGTATCAACAGCTTCACAACGAGGCGATTACTTGAGTGTGTACTTATAGGAACTTGGAATTTATTGACTGCCTTGTACTTAATGCATCGGCTCCTTAAGTAATCGATGTACGATCTATGTTGTCTTCTTATAATTTCGAGATTTGGGATTTTGCCATCGGTCCTTTTATATTTCCATACTAGAATAACCATCTATATTATACTTCATTCACACCCAGTGGCAGTGTATGTGTTGAAGAAATGAAAGCTAATAGCAATTCATTAGTTACCAATAAACTACTGGATAGAGAAATCTTCTAGGCAGAAGAGATCGATCTAGGTTCCCGATATAACTTGAACTTTTTACTAATGTTATCTTATTATACTGGTTTACAAAGGAAACTTTAGTGGTTAACCATACAGGATTATGATGCTGGATTATAGTGTAGTTGGTTTAAACCATACTAGTTTAGATTGCACTATAATTGTACTGTTCTATGTTTTCAACAACTATAGATTCTTGCCTAATCATATGACAGTGATTAAATCACTTATAACTTAAACAACCTTCTTGAATCACGGTACTTATTTTTTACTGTGCTGAATTATACTGTGCTAGGGCTATATTGTACTTAGTTTGTAGTAGTTTGGACTGTTCTGGTTCCGGCTCTGTTAGTTTAGATCACATACGATTTCAGATTTATAGGGTTGTGATTTGAGTAAATCAGTTCAGAAGAAAAAAATTATCATGTTTACAGGTACAAAAATAAAAAAGCATTTTAAGCTCAATACCTTTTTAGCTCCGTATCGAAGCTAAATTGCGTATGCTTCCATAGTGGTTTCCACCAGAAGAAACAAGTACATTCAATTTAATATATTTTGTTTTAAATTTTAGAATCAATAGGACTGCAGATAGATATGCAATTTGAAATACAAATTGAATTACGTAAATATAATATTTACAAATTTGATGGTTACTTACTTGTAGTTAATTTATATAAAATATATATTTTTTATTTTATATATTTTACTATTTGTTTACTTTTTTTGTTTATAGCTCTCCTAGTGCTCATTGCTCCAAGCCAACGTAATAAGAATTTATTAATAAATTTGTTGTATAGACCTTAAGGCTTGTTTTAAAAATTAATTTTTTTTTTGTTCTTACACAATAATTATTATGACCATTGATAATTCTCCTTAGACTGTCATGCTCTGCGCTCTTACCCGTTATTAAAAGAAGAGTAAATTCAATTGAACCACTTATAATGGAATTCGAATAAAAACGTGTTCGAATAATTTATTTATTTAATCAATTTTTTTTCCAAACTATTCAAAATGTGAAATTATTTTTGCAACTTTTTTTTGTAACTTTTCCTTTTTTTGAAACCCTTAAAGTTTAAAACCAAAAACGGTGTTTATTACTTTTTGTAGACCATAGAAATTTAAATTTGACCAATCTTGGAAAAGTGAGAAGATTTTTTACTGGAAACGCTTTAAGAAATATAATTTTAAATGAATTAGGTAAGTATTAAGTATCAAGTTTTATTGCTATACTACCATTATATTGTAATATCAATAAACGTGTATACCAATCAAAATATATATTTATACATATACAGGTTGATTCATTTTGGGTAAGACATTACTTTTCTCAGAAAATATGAACATTTAAAAAAAAAAAATTTTCTATACTTTTAGGTACACATTGTACTACCTACATTTTTTAATACTGTGAATATTTGTATCTCCAACCCTTATACAAAAAAGGTAGGACGTCACTTTTTCAAATGGCAACATATGTTTTAAATTTCAGAAATATAGAAAACTAAATAGAAGAAATATAGAAAGTATAGAAAAATATAGTACGAAGTGTCTCTAAAAAAATAGGAAACAATTATATTCAAAATATTAATATTTTCGGAGAAAACTAGTGTCTTACCCAAAATGAATCACACTGTATATATAATATAATTTAATAGGAATAATTCTCAATAGTATAACAAGAATATACATTATTTCGTTTATTAATAATATAAAATATGATGAATAAAGTAAACATGTGTGCATATTTTATAATATGCAATCATCAATAATATATAGTTTTGTTTTTTTAAATTCTTTTAGCTGCAAATGAGCCAAATTGTTCGGAATTGTGTCAATATATAGGACTGTGGATGAGTACAAAAGTCCCATCGTTATATACAAATATAACTGAAATTGTCCCTTATAATGTTTGTATCTTACGGGATACAGCCGGTCATATTATAAAATACAGATCCTTCGGCAGTACATATTGGCAGGTAGACGCCGATGACATTGACTATAAAATAATAAAACTAAAAGATCAAGTACTTGAAGGAGAGATACCAGTTACCACCATCGGATAATTTTGACCAGAAACCAATAGTATAACTGTTTAAAAATTATATAGTACTGGTGTCAATTAATTTAATCTATTTCATAACAGATCGTTTTGCTTCCAATTATAAAAACATTTATTATGTATTATGTTGTGCCTATGTATTATGTATGTTTGTTACTGAACAAAAAACAACCGAATGTAAAAAGAATAATTATGGAGTTAGGCTTAAATGTTAAGGTAAATTTTATATTATAATATATGTGTATTAAAGTCGTACGTGTGTGCTTAAAGACACAAACTTAAAATGGATTCGCCACGTTTATATCTTAGTTGTTGCATAAAGTGTCTTTAAGTGCATTATACAGAAGATGCGAAAAAGTTGAATTGCTTTTATTCGTGGTCTCAATTTTATAATTTTTAATAGTTAGGCTTTTTTATCATTGACTGGAATAATTTCCGAACATATATTTGGAATACATCCTGATTCCGATCATGGCTGATGAACGCACATATTATGATTAACATTTTTGGTCCCACGGTAAAATCCCTTTTGCCATGCTCGACAAACAAAGTTATAAATAACAAAATTTCAATCTATCGCACGATATAAGAGAAGTAAATTTTTCAGGAAACTGCTACACATTGCATAGTGCAAGACTACTAGGTTGTAATATAATCAATTATATTATATGTTAAAGATTACCAATATTAATTATATTGTAAATCAAACACAAAACAAGTATGTATACACGTGTCTACTCATGAGTAGCTTAGCCGAAGCCAAAAAGTATACTTATTATTTCTGGACGTACATAAAAATACAAATTTAATTATTATTATTAACCCGATTAAATATTTAAAATATATTAACTAATACAAGTGTGTTTTAAATTATTTGTACAAGATATACATCAAGTATTTAACCACTTTAAGTTGAATACGGATTTTTATTTCAATATCAAGTAACCGGTGTTAAATATTCTTAATTGAGTTAGAAATATATTGAAACAAACTAATACAGAAATGGTTTTAAAAGAGTAATATTAAATGGTTAAGAATATTATCCAAAAAAGTGGCACTTATACAATAAATGATAATCAGCAGATAATCAATGGAAAAATGTGAATATCGAGAGATGTTAATGTATTTACATAGCACAATATTTTGTGCTATGTAATACATATAATTTTCGATAATATTCTTTATCATTCACGGAGGAAACTTAAATTTAAATTTGGGAACTGCCCAAGGCACCGAATTAATCGTTACAAAATTTTCAATATTAATCTCAACAATGGTTCGGCCATCTTCAATACTAAATACAAAAAAATATAATTATTTTATTTAAATTTATTCAGAATGTTTTACAATTTATATAAATAAATAAATATTTGTTTTCTAAAAAGTTTATTAAATTAAATACCCTTTGTCATTTCGTCTGGTTCTAGGTTCTATAAGACATATTCATGATTCAACTTCTTTCCTTCGAAAGGGAAAACTAACGTTTTTTTATAATATTTTAAATAAATTCTATTTTTCCACGTCCCATTGGAATTCAACCAACGTATAACCTTTGGCACGTGTGCCATTGGTTCGCTATCCCTGTGCTAGGCCCATCTCGTATCATATAATAAAATATAAAACAAAATAACGAAATTATAATTACTTGGTTAAATCATAAATGCAACACATATACCCTGCATGGGATTTGCTTACGAATTGTAATATTAAAACGATAATGGTACAAAAATATTTTATAAATACTATTAACATAAACGATTTATTGTCTTGTATCAAAACATCTAACAAACATAAAAATGCAGTTAATATCTTTATAACCAAATCTATACAAAAAATTGAGAAAGTCGGAATAAGCTTATGTTTCTGTAAATGTATTTTACACATTTTATATAATATTAAATATATTTCTAATTTTTAGAACATTTTTAAATAAATTTCATGAAAGTAGGAAAAGGGGTTTAACATGAATTGTGAAAAAACTACTTTTTCTTAAAAATCAAGTGCAATTACACTGAAGTTTCATTAGGACAAGCGAGACAAATATAAAACTTCTGTGTAATTTTGAGCTAGGTGATTCACAATAATAAAATAAGACTTCGTGAAAGAATCATTTAACTTTCAAATGTTTACATAAGTAATAAACAATAAAATGGTGGGATTTATATTAAATTCTAAATTCAGTCATAGAAATACTCAGTAATTTGAGTTTCCCAATATGCTTTGTTCTTAAAAATTCTTTCATTATGTTTTTTACATTTGGTAAAAAATTTTCAAATATTATATTCCTCCATTGTTTATTCAATCACTTGGTTTTGCTTGACAATTTAGAAATTAATACCTTTTAACGATTAAATACAAACTAATAAATTATTTAAAAAAAAATCCATAACCGCCGTGATCAAAATGTTTTAAGCACACACAATGTTTTTTTATCCTCGGTACTATTAGTATGTTATAACGTTGTACTCAGACCATGTAAGCGTTTTAAGCAAATCCCATTCTGTACTTTTATAAATAATACGTTTTTATTTATTTAGGTATTTTGCGTGTGGCAAAATTTTTCCACAGTCAATAGTTAGGTTACATAAATTAAATTCCAATTGCAATTCTCTAAAGAATTGGGACGGGCTCGCAGACGGTTCGCGATACGTTCGGCTCGCAAGTGTATACGCTGCTTAATATAAGTATTATATGTTTGAGTCATTGTAAAACCAATAATTTATAAAAAAAAATACTCGATACACTGCGTTGGAATAATTTATGTACATCATAAATCGTATAAAAAAAATGAACCAGCCATGTAAATAAATTGCCTACAAGAACCAATTCAGATTCTAAATTTTTTGATGATATACAAGTCGGAAAAAGACCATTTTAAAACAGTAAATTTAAAAAGCCGACCAAGTCCCTAATATTTTTTTAGAAATTCTATCAGTTTATTAAATAGGTAAGTACTTTTATTTAACTCCAAAAATTTTAAGTTAGATTTTAATCAGATATGGGCAAAATTAATTAAAAACTTACGCGAAAAATTATTATTAGCTTAGAATAATACATTGTAAAATATAGGTATTTAAAATTGTGATATTGTCATGAAGTATCCAAAAAAATAACTCCATTAATACATTAGAAAAATAGAAAAACAAGTTATAAATGAATTGTAAATCGGTAGGAATCAAAGTTTATATGTCAATAAAATCATTTAGGTACATGAAATTATTCTAGTTAGTTAGCAAAAAAATATGTTGATTTGGTTACTTACCTTGATAGCTTTAAAATTATAAATAAATTAAAAATATTTTGTAACCGTTAAAACATTTTAGTAAAACCACGATAATATGTTGACTTAGAACTTTATAACCCTTTGAAATACGACATTATTTTATTTAAATATTACCCTCAAGATATTAGCTTTAAATTTATATCGAATATAAAAATTGTGTTTTTCATTTTATCTACAAATCACCCTTTTCTACTCAAGAAATTAATAAAATATTCGTTTAAATTTTAGGCGTAATTAAATAACAAACCAAATTAATTTAAATAAAATGTTATTCTTTACTTAAATAACCTATTAGTTTTCTTTGGTCTTTTTAAAAGAAATAAATCGTGTTTCGACAAATAAATGAGAAGAAAATAGTCTTAACTATACGTCAGTAAAATGCAAATATGAAATGATATTAAAAAAAAACTGCTTTGGAAATAAATTAATATAGATACCCTGCAAAAACAACTTATACTTTACTTTTCTGGTAGAAATATGAGTTCATAATTAAGGAGCAAAAATTCGCTTAAAAATAATGTGCTTAACCGAATGTTTGCTCGTTTTAACAACTCGATCGAATTGATATTTGTCTTAAAACTTGTATCTTGACAATCAATTAAATAAAAAATATTTTTTAGCTTTAAAATATGCAAGTATATTTTTAATCAGATATAGACGAATTACAAAACACTTTTTAAATAATAATTTTAATGAGATCAAACTGATTGATATCATCGTGTTAAATTGATGAGGAGTAATTATTTTATGTTTTTACTTTCTTACACAAGGTAAAAAAAAAAAAATATATATATAATATTTAATTATTCTTTACAGTGGACTTTAAGAGGGTGGTTGCCATTACAAGTCGGTAACATTTATTATCATAAAGAAATTATTAAATTTTTTTAATTTTAAAGTTTTTATAAAAATTTCAAAATTTTTTACTTCAGACTTAGTCATCAAAATGGCTTCTGACCGACATTATGTATTTGGAAGTAATATATATTTATAACTAAATACACTTATACAAAATTGTTTTGTAATATTTGCCTGATGACCAATTCATTTATAAATTAAAATTTTTAGTTTTTACACGTTTACTATAATATTATAATAGTCTGACTTATAGAACCATGAAACCAAAACAAAATTACTTAGATTTGTTTGATACACTTGTTATTAATTATAATTAGGGGCTTAGTAGTAAGTAGTAGAGTAAAGGCTTGTTTTATTTTATATAGAAAATTTTTTTTCTCAAATATCAAAATACGAAGAACACAAAACCACACCATCAACAACAAATATCTAATCTCAATGTCGAATTAAAAAATTGCAATAATATTTTTACTTTTGAGATTGTTCTGACGATCGATCGCATTTGGTTTAAGGAACATAATATAACATTTTGTTGTACCATGTTTTTGGGCTGGACACACAGTTTTTTTTTTGCGTAGACAAAATAACGTCATTGCGATACCAGTGTGTTTAATGCGACCGGTTTACGGTTCAAAGTGCTTAAGTAAATTTACTTTTAAATTGTTATATTTGGTAGGAATTTCCTTTTGGGATTTCAATGTCATTTTTTCATTTTATGGTAATTCATGTCAAAATCATAGACAGTATTTAAAATAATAGGAATCATTATGAATAGATTTTTTATTTTTTTAATGTTTAAATAGACCTAATTATTTTTTGTCTAAATCATGAGATCATTGAAATAATTGTGTTTTATATGTTCCAATACAATCATATCCAACAAAGATTTAATTTAAATCATCAATTTTAAAATTTTTTTTTTAGCCGATTGGTCACAATGACTTGTGTAATAAATATAATTTAGTAATAATAAGTATTTTAGTTACCAATACTATAATATATATTTTGTATGTTTTTGATAAGAGGAGAAACCGCACATAGGTACGAGCCTACATTGGTAGTTTCTATAAAGTACTAAGGGTATACTTGGCAGTGAATATTAAACAAAAGGAAGCATTAGTGGAGATAAGGGGAGGGATTGTGATTCTAAAAATCCTAAAACTTGAAATTAGTGCCACCTTAACTTTTTTTTAAGCAAATCTCTCACTAAAAAATAAATATAGATATTTTGAAAAGCACTTATTTCAAATATTAAGATTTCGGTATCCCAAACCCCACCTGATATTCGTCGATTAGGGGGGAGTGGGGAGTAACGTGAAGTTCAATGGTCATCAACATGGTGTAATCTTATATTAATAATTTTTTAACTTTTATAATTTTTTTTAAACAGTTTTTTTAAAAAAAAAACCTGTATATACATGGCGTCTGTACTTAAAATAAAGAAATATTTTTTTTGATAATTCTAGATGGATTGGAATATATTATTAAATCATTTATATATGACGACCAAATTACAATGGGTACCTATTAATATTTATATAATAAAAAAAAAATCGTGCTAGTAATACAAAATATTTGATATTATTTATATGTAAGATACAAAAAGGTTCTATAAATTTGTAAGGAAATTTATTTGTCGTAAATATCTTAAAATTAACTAGGCATTCTAAATGGAATCTTTATAAAATCGTCACTGATTACAGCTCTCAAAATCTTATCTTATACCTGGTATATTATTCTACTCGCCGTATCTGTTACATGTTATTTTCAGAAGTCATGAGTATATTGTTCGCTGTACCGGGTAATAATGTCCAAATTTGTGCGAACCATTATTTTTGGATATTCATTAAGTATTTACAATATTTCGTATTCATTTCAGAAAAGGCAGACCTTACAAACATGCAGAGTAACCCCATTTATATGTTTCATATTTACAATACTTTACTTGCATTCATTATTTACTTATACTGAGAATAAACATGTACTTATATGTTCTATTAAATCATAAAAAACTTATACATTAAACATTATTGTGATTCAAATTTTAGTTTATATGGATCAACAGATACAACTGCAACTAGAAATAATTGATTCATTGTGTAAGTATAAAATTTAATACTTCTATGTGAACAATTTTCAAAATTGACAATTACATACTTGTAGTCTAAAGAAAAACTGTAAAATTTCGATTAAAGCTTTATGTTTTTACATAAGCATCTGATAATCGTTTAAAATATAATTCAAATCGTTAGTTTAAATATTGCTATTAGAAGTAATTTAATAGTAGTATAATAATATATTGCATTCAAAAATTATTATTATTGATCTCAATTTTAATGTGAATGTTAATAGTAATATTTTAAATCAGTTTTATTTAAGTGTATAAATATTTAGTATTTTTGAAGTATCATTTATTAATTCTTTTAATTAGTCTCAATTTAGATTGACTATTATAAAAGAATTATAAAAGCTGGTTTTTAAATAGTGTAAAAATGATTTGTTAATTTATCAATTTGTTACAGTTCTTCCTGTGCCTAATAATCCAGGCCCAAGTAATTATAATTTATTAAATAGTAGTAATTAGACCTAAACGCTTGTTTTAATAATAACATTTAATGTTTTCTTTCTCACACAATAATTATTATAGTGAGGTCAACATAAAGTTGGAGAAAGAGAGTGAGACTACATTAATATTTACTAAGTCATGCCTCAGTGAGACTTATAGAAACTATTATTTTAATAAATCACAATTTTTCGACGAGTAATAAAATTATGTATCAAGACTTGTTTTGTGCAGATTATGGTGACATAAATTTAACCGATCTTGGAGAAGCAAGAAGATATCTTACTGGAAAAGCTTTAAGAAATATAATCATTTTTGCGATAGGTAAATATTAATATAGATTTGTCATAGTGTTGATTTTCAACCATTATACTGTATACATGGTTCTGCAATTTAATTGTGTATTTATATTTATTAAAATAACTGGTTTATAAAAACATTTCATTTTCAGTAATATTTATAATAATCATTTTAATAGTTTTGCATATTTTAAAGACATACATATCAAAAATGTATCCTTATTAAATTTGTTTTATTTGATTAAATAAATTTATAGAAATCATAAAATTCATAATATAGGTATATTTATCTATAATTGTTTCTTAACATAAAATTTATTATTTTTAAAATTTGTTGAGCATTTCTATTTTTAACGTGAATATGTTTTTGGTTTAGTCTGGTGTGTTTAACGCAACTGTTTCTCTTCCACTTTCCAAAACCATTGCTTGCCCTCCTCACCTCTTTCCTAGCATTTCTCAGCCTCATCTACATTCTTTCACTTTATAACACTATTCCCTACTCTTTTCCATGCTCTCCATCCAACTCTTACCCTCTTTCATAATTCCCTACTATCTTACATCCTCTCTAACCCTCACACCCCTTATTTCACCCTTTTCCGTCCGCTAATTTATATTTTGATACAGATAACGAATTGTCAGTTTTCGACAAAAGACGGCAATTTTAAATTTCGTTCTTGTTCGTTAATTGCCTATGGACTCAATATCTAGTACATAATATCTAGTTTATGTTAACCTACACTTTTCTATAATACACTACAGTGTTATGTATATATAACGAGAGAAAATTTAAATTTGGCATGATTTAATAGAAGATCTTCCAAGTTTCAAAATATTAATTTTATTATGAATTCAACTATAGTTTTTCTTATTTTAAACATATTTTATACAATTTTGATAATCAATATGTAATGATATACACAGTCTCCCGGGAGTGTTTCTGTCATTAAATAATAATTTTTTGACTGGAAATCGCATGGCTATACAATAGAGACGCCATGTTATTATTTTTTTTTTACACGTGTAGCAGTTTTGACTGCAAAATAAATAAAATTAGTAACCTAATTCTAAACTATTAATCTAAATTTATAATTAAAAAAAAAAATGTTTTGTTAATTTTCAGATAGATACGAATCATATATATCTTTTGGACGCTTGTGTCGTTTTTTAGGGGTGTGGATAAGTACAAAAACCCCAACTATGTATATAACATCTGCTGAAGTTGACACTTATAGATGTTGTGTCTTAAAAGATGAAGCCGATCACATTACAAAATACACATTCATTGATGACGCTTATTGGCAAGTAGACGCCGAAAACATTGATTTTAAAATAATAGAACTAAAAGAACAACTACTCGAGGAAGAGGTATCAGTGATCACAGTCAGATAATTTTGACCAAAAACCAAAAGTATAAGTCTTCTAAAATTATAGAGTACTATTGTTCTTGTATTTAAATCATTTTTCTACATTGCACTAATACCAAATCATTAATTAATTCATTGTATTTCAAAATAAACTGTTTTACTTACGATTATAAACTCATTTTATGTTTATAATTATTATTGTTATATTTACTTATGACACATTACTACCAATAGGAGGTCTTAAGGCCTAGTTTGGTCTCCTATAAGGAGGATATGCCGACTGTAAAACTCAAGTGCAACTACATGAAGAACAGTTTTAAAAATTTCAAACAAGGAATAAAAAATATAACTCTCCAGTTTTACATTTTACACCAATATCAATTTTGTCAATTATTTTAATGTATTTTATAATAAACAATTTTGCTTAAACTTATAAACAAATTTATGACTTAAGTACACTAGCCCAGCTGTAATTTTTATTTATTATAATCCCCAACCCGACTAATAATCGAATTAAGAGTTACTTGCTAATTATAGCAGGGTTGGGTAAATTCATGAATACAAGTTTTAGACACCAATATTATAGGGAGGAGGATTGGCCAAGTGGGTGGGTGGCAAAGTGTTAGCGCTCACTGTCGCTGGTTCGACCCTCAGTAACAAGCGCTCCGTTTGCTAAGCGAGCAATCGTCCGATGAAAAGAAGCTGCCATCCCCCTCTACGACTGCATGACAGAAACGTCATATGCTAACAATAGTAACAATACTACACTTATATAAAAATACTTTCGCCCTGTGAATACATTGTCTTATACGGACTTTAGTCCACGAAATGTTATAAACACACACACTGTAAAAATATTTACCAACTACATTTTACCTGACAACTAAGGTGCCTTTAATTAATGGCATAAAAAGGGGCCGAGCTCTAGTTACCTCTTCTGGGCTGATTCCACCTCAGAATAAGTATTTAATCATCATAAGTATTTTATAAAATTGTGTGCACAGAATAATTTTTACATTTTCACTCGTATATAAATTGTATATGAGTACAAATATAATGATATATATTTTTCGTCAAGTAATACCATTTCTTTTTATAATGTAGAACCGAAGTCTGGTAATTGGCGTCTTCTTGTATCTCATAAACAGTTTAGCGTATTGAGTCAATTTTAATTAAGTGTTTAGAGAAATACCTTATCTGTACAGTCTACAGTGAACGCGGCCATAATCATCCTATGTTTGTAACTGGAGTGACTAGAAAAGCATTAGATAGGTTGGTACTCTGAGACCAATTATTGCTTGTCATCTTGCCCTATTAGTGCAAAATAACAGCAACTAAATATAATATTGCATACAAATACAGAGGATAAATAAATTTGTACTTTAAAAATGCGTGGATTTGAATCTGTAAGGTATACTATAAGTGTTCGTTATTTGTTTAAACCAATACAAAAGCCACAAATGTAAATATAATCGTGAGTAAAACTGTTTATTTTAAAACACTTTAAATTATTTGACAGCGCAAAATGTAACTAATCTTTAAATAAAATAACAATAGTTCTTAATTTATCATAACTGTTCCTTAAGACGTTGTACTTTATCATTAATGTCATCAACACATACTTACCACCATGTGCCGTTAATTCTTCTGTATGTTCTGTATGGTGTAATATAATCCGTCATGACACAAGTACCAATAGTGGTAACCTGTAGATAGTATATGTAAGACGGTGGAGATTTTGCGCTCATAAACAATGCTGTTAAATTACACATGTTGGATAAAGATGCTTCCATTTCTAATCGTTCTAAAAAAAAAGTTTTTTATCCGCAAAATTTTGCGTACTGGTAACTAATTTTTTCATGGCATAGGACACAACTAAAAAAGTCATAATGTGGTGCGCATATTATACAGCCATATTATTTATATTAAAAAAAGTTATGTGTTTAATTTAGTTAGATTAATTGTCCGGTAAGTATACATATACTTACCGGATGAATTGATGATTCTGTTTCTTAAAGTTTATTAAGAATATTATACCATATCATATGATGATGTGACAAAGAAGAGGAAAAGTAAATATACGTATATGCGACACGGTGGCAGATAAATAAATAATATTAACCTAACCTATCTTATTTTAAATATATATTCAATCAATTTTCTCCACCAGGGGGCGCTGCTGGGGATCCCCAGGGCCCTACTTATTACAACCACTCAATATCTCATTGAGTTTAATTAAACATTGAATTTTTTTTTTTATAGTATTTTTGTATAATCTGATCCACCTAATTTCCCATAAATTTTGATGTTTCTCTCCCCCTCGCAAACTAATAATTTATATATTAACTTTTAAACTTAAATGGTAACGCATACGTTTCATTAATTTTTTTAATTTAAAATAATGTACTAAATATTTTGACTGCAAGATAACAGTTTCGGATAATTATTTTTGAAGTTTCAAATTTAGGGCAGGAGGAAAGGTGGAGTGTAGCACAAATTTTATCTACTTACTAAAAATAAAAAAATTTGAAAGATAGGAGAAAACAGAGGAAAAGTAAATTTGTATTTTAAAAAAGCTTGGATTGGAATCTGTAAAATTTGGTATGTGTTTAAATCAATACAAAGGCAACAAATGTATATTATATAACTGTGAGTAACATTGTTTATTTGGAAATATATTAAATTATTTGAACATTCAATGTCCAAATATTATTTAAATAAAACAACAATAGTACTATGTAAGTTTAGATTCTTATACAATGGCATTGATTCCTGATCTAAAATATCATAACAGCTCTAAAACTGGTATTTCATCACTTGTGTCATTGACTTTTATTTGCCACCATATGTTTTTAATCTCTCTGTATGTTTTGTATGGTGTAATAGTATCCGTCAAGATACAATCACCAGTATTTGTTATCTGAAGAAAAGTTATATATAATTTTGATGATTTTGCACTTATACATAATGCTACTAATGTACACATCTTCAATAAATATTCTTGCGGTTTTTTTCCATCTATAACAGTTAAAAATTAATTTTTAATTTTTTAAATTTAGCTTGCTAGTCACTATTTTTTTTAAGGTTCTACTAAAAATATCATAAAATTAAGTCCGTGTTTACAGCCATTCTATTTATAGTACAAAAAAGTATGAGTTTATTTGAGTTAGATTTATTCTGTGTATCGACAATTGTCTTGATTTCAATGACACAATAAAATCAGCGAAAGAAAATGATATCACTCTCCGACAGGCTGCCGGGCATAACATTTTTGCTGGGAGTCAGGGATATCGGAAGTGTCATTGTAAAGCCAAATGTACAAATAATACACGTGCTTGTTAAGCAGCAAAAAAAAAATATATTTAAACTATTTCCACAACTTGCGGTTATTGCCACTCGAGTAGTTTGACTGGTCTGCCAACGTTTCCGGAATACTTGCACATTCCATCTTTAGGGCTGTATTTTGATGTTGATCATTCCGTGGTTTCCTGACGACTGACCGACCCGCTTCTGCGAGCGTTGGATATGTACCGTACCTCCCACCATACTTTACAATAGACGGCTAATACGAAGAGACGTGATGCATAAAACAGCTGGTAAGGACAGGAGGAGGCAGAGAGTACGGCGGGGGGTATGGTATATAATAACCTACGCCCGCTGACAGAAAACCAAGGAACGAGCAACATCCTTGAAGATGGAATATGCAAGTATTCCGAAACGCTGGCAGACCAGTAACTTACTCAAGCGTAAATACAACAAATAAATCAAGTTTAAATATATTTTTATGATAATAATACATTTTAGACATTTTATGTATTGTCTTGGCAATGTCAGCATTGTCTATTATCACAACACACATATAAGTATGTATATATTAGGTGTTATAAGAAAAGTTCTGTTATTTTAATACTGTATAAAACTAAATTTGTTACAGTGATAAAAATGTAACTATTATAATATTTATGTATATAAAATAATATTAAGTATTATAATTTTTTTTTTTAAACGAAACATTTATATAAATAAATTATTTCCATAGATATATTATATATACACCATAAAAAATGTAATGGTTTAAAAACAATTACAACTCTATAATAAATATATAATAACACTTACTGAATAAATTGGCGATTTTATTTCTTATTTTTTCTGTAGTATGTAGTCTTCTTTCTTCTGTAAGTGCAGTCAAATTTCTAAAACCTACAAAAGTTAAAAAACATGCGTGTTGTTAACAGTTAATAGAAATAAAATAAATTCGTATTTTAGCAACGAAAGTTGACAATAATAGCATGGATTGCAAAGGTCAATTATTAATGCAATCAGCTCTCTAAAATAATACCCAACAATAAGAACTTGCATTTCGTGTCGAGTCACGAGTGTTTGTTAACTGATTACGTCTCATCAAACGTTTTTCATGTTTATAAATATGATTTTCATTTGTATGTGTAGTGGTTCTATTCGATTTCTGTCGTTTACAATTTTACAGCAAAAAAGAATAAATATGTCAAATAGTCAAAGAGTTATCTCTATTAAATATGATAAAAGAATACCGAATTTCATCTTTAAAACTGGCTCTAATTTCTATTTACGTTATCGAATAAATTTGTAATATCTTTGATCTGGAGCATTTGACAAAGAAATAAATACAACAAAAATTAAAAATATCAAATAATTATATAAATATATATATATATTTAAGGTTTTCAGGATTTCATGGTCTAACTCTAATACTTCGATGATATAGTAAGATCTTGCAAAAATAATCTTTGTAAATCATTTGTTAATTCTTATAAAAAAAAAATTTTAATTCTTTTCATTTATTTAAAATTTGTTTTTCTACGTTAGAAACCAAATTTAGGGAGTGTATATATTAAAACATAAATTTTAACGTATACATTTATTAAGTTCGTTCAAAAACAAAACAAATTTTAATTATAAAAAAAAAATAGCAATAAATCTCGGGGGTCCATTCCCGTTATTAGACCAAAAGATTTAATTTGAGTCCCCGATATTATGATCAAAATTTCAAAAATTGGTCAAAATTGAATAGTCGTAAAAAAAAGTCCTATTTTAGCCGAGTCTGCAACCACGAAAGAGCATTTACATGTCTCGTTGAAGTACCGATATAAATTTAGAGTAGTGGTAGAATTATAAATAATGATATAGTATATTAAGAAGCAGTAACAAGCTAGTATATTAAATAAAACATCAAGTTTCTGGCTAATATTGTAGTGTTTAATATTTGACCTAAAACAATTCATAGAGAATTTTGGCCCTTAAACTGTTTTGAATTTATTATTTAGTTCTAATTTGAAGGTTGAACATACAACATATCTCTTATCTCTTATCTCCTATATTTTTCCCTATCCCCTACCCACTATTTTCTATTCCCTATCTCTTACCCCTAAATTCCACCCCCTATCTCCCACCCCTATCACTCACCCCAAAAATTTCAAAAAAATTCAAGTCTTATATTAAACCAATAGAATTTAAAAAAAAAATTTCGAATAATTTTGAGGACGTCGGGCTGATGATTGCTTAGTTTGACTCAGAATGCCCCATATATATATATATATAAATAGTGAAATTTTAAAACCCATTACAACACTGTGTTAATATTTACCTATTTTATGAATGAATATATTTTTTAAAGCTTTTCTAGTTAAACACCTTCTCTCTTCTCCCAGTTCGAACAAATCTAATTTTTCAAAATCTGCAAAAAATATTATATTACCGTGTTGATGACAAATAATAAAAATAACATATTATAAATTAGTTGAACGTGAATATAGTTGCTCAAAGAACTTATTATACATTAACATTATAGTCAATTTTGAGTTGTTAAGGAGCATAAGTTTCATGGCGTAACCTACAAATACAAGCGCTCGAAACTAATAAAAGCAGAACAAATCTACACTAGTGTTAAAAATTTCCTGATTATTATTTGTGAGTGAATTAGTAAATGCATTTTTCAAAAATAATTGTATTTTTCATTAAATGCGTAGCCTTCGCAGTACTATTAGTCGATATCGAATATTCGTGATATTAGTTAAGCAATACGTTTATTCGAAAGTAGTTTTAGTGAAATTCTGAACACCTTCCTTACCTCTAAATACTCCGTTCTGCTATGCCCTAAGCCTCACTATCATTTTTATTACAATAAATTCATCTTCTGCTTCATAAAAAATTGCAAATAACATTACTTAAAAAAAAAAAAAATTGGAATAAACAATTTATTAAAAAGTATATTAATAATTGGAAACTATTAAAATTCAAACAAGTAGAGCACAAGGTGTTTTACTTAGGTATTGTTTGTCATCGAAAATTAAAAAAAAACCTACCCCGGTTTGTATGGGAGGGGAAGTGCTTTTAGGAAATGCGCGCAGGTAAAAAAAAATACACTCCACCTTTTCTCCTGCCCTAAATTTGTAACTTCAATAACTTCAAAAATAGTTATCCGAAAATGTTTATCGATCAGTCAAAATGTTTAGTACATTATTCTCAATTAATAAAGTTAATAAAATATATACTTTACTATTTAAGTTTCAAAAGTTGCTATCAAAATATCTAAGTTGGAAGGGGGTAAAAACAAAAAAAATAGTGTAAAATTGAGATCACGTTTTATACAAACATTATAAAAAAAAAATTAAATTATTAATTAAACCCAGTGAGATATTGACTGATTCATTATAAGAGAATCACCCTGTATATACTAGGTAACGTTCAGCGTTCGCACGCACAGATTTTCCAATTGACCCGCAACCCAATAACATATCCATGTTAATAAACAAGGAAATTAAAACTTTAAAACAATCCTTTAAGGCTTTATAAGGTTATTAAAAAATTCGTAATTACTTTGGTTTTCATCAATGTCAGGAACATCAATTTCTATAACAATATATTTAACAAATAATTTAATAAAATTAATTTTACAAAATTCATTCTAAAACTGAAACTAATTAGACCAATTTATCAACCAAAAATATTGAAAAGTTAAATTTAAAATGATAATTAAATGCTTAGGCAAAAAAAAATGATTTATAAAAATTAATTTATATTTTTGTCGCTATTTTTAGAACTATATAATCATTAATTATTTTAATTATTTGCTTAAGAATGTTAAATTTTATAATTACTTAATACAGCATTAATTTCGACTTGCATAGTTCCTTGTAAGTCTATAGATCCTGTAATTTTAATCAAAATAAATTGTAGTTTTTTATGTTTATAATTATATGTTAGTATCCTAATGGTTATTCTTATTAAATATATAAATTATTTAGACGTGTTAATTACTGTTGGTGTGTAATAAAATTATGTGGTTACCCTGAACATCGTTTTCGAATAGATATTCTAAAATTTAAACAAAAACATTTTGTACCAATCAATAGTGTGGAAGTAATTAAACATAATATAAAATTAAATTTATTACCCGGTACATTAATCATATTATTCATTGATTCTGAAATTAATATTACATATATTTATAATATTGTATACGATTATATTAAAAATGAGAAGACAAAAGTTAAAGGTGAGAGTAGTAAGTGGATTGGTAAGTCAAGAAGAAAAGTTGCATATGTAGTGATTAGAATAAAATATAATGATTAGACGAGAATGACAGAGCTGATATCAGATTTTGTTCATATTGTTTCCATTTAGATTTTAGGGAAGTATTTAAGAGTTTAATTACTGATAAATTTGAAATAAATAGTTATCCAAAAATGTTTATTTTATTCAACTAGCAGGCTCAATTTGTTTTTATTATTATTAAATAAATATAACTACCTATTTTATATAATAACTCTTCAATGATTGTTTTAATTACACACTCCAATCCATCTAAAATAAAGTAAAACATATTTGAACTTATGTTTCAAACAAAATAAAATAAGTTACTAAAATCTTAAGAATACGATTAAACCGTACCTTAAGCAGTAGCAATTTAACTTAACGCTACACCCTCTATTAGAAAAATTGTTACTATTTAAGGTCAAATTGCTCTAAGTAAGTTATAGAAACAGCTACTTTAAGTATAAATATAAAGAATTAGAATTAACTTAAGAGTTTGCACAATTTTCACTATGAACTATAAATATTTTGTTAATAATTTTAAATAATTCTTACTTGCTAGAGAATTAGTTTTTGTATCACTCTGATAGGCAAGCTTAATGTGTTCATCTATGTAATATTATTTAAAAAATATGTATAGTAACAATAAAGTTAAAAAATTAAAACAGTTATTTTTTACAAAAGAACAATAGTACTGACTTGTAATGAAAACCTCCCTCTTGTATTCTACTATAAAAAAAAAGGAAATATTGTTTATTTTTTGTTTTTAACTACGTTATAAGTAAGTGTGAAAATTAACTAACTCATAAGGTCATTATCTGTCGAGACATTAACAAAGATAAATGTTATTAAAAAACAGAATAATTTCTTTTTTATCTGCAAATATAACATAAAAAAAAATGTTTATTAGTCACAGTTCCTCTGATGCGAAGATAAGAAGTCTTTGGTTTTACGAAGCTGTCTTTTTCTTGATAAATATAAACTAGACCACCGGTATTATAGAGCGCTAAATTTATTTTAAATAATTGAACTTGTGAGGTATTCTATTGGACCATAATTGTAGTAGTTCACTCTAATGAAGGTCCACAAAATCAAAATCAGGTATTTGTTAAATATTTAACATATATTGTGTAAATTAGGTAGTTTACGTTTATCACTCGACCAATAATGAATTTAAAGTAAAAATATTCATGATAAAATGGTTAGTGGATAACATTTTAGAGAGATTGCCGTATCTGTTTAAAATAAAATCTTTAGATACAAAGTCATTACGATTGAAAAGTGTGGAAATATCTTTTAAAATAATACACATTATTCTAATAAACGGAAAGATTTAAAAGTTTTTATAGTATTTCTGTCAAAATGTCATATTTTGTCGAAGTCTTAAAAAATAGCTTTAAAACCATTACGGATTTTGTAAAACGCAAAACGTTGAAAAAAAAATAAGAAGCAATTGTTGTTTCTACCCAACTTTGGAAGTAGAATGTAATGTGTTTAGATGTAATGTATGTTGCTTGTATATTGCCATTTTTCGCTACAACTGAACCGACATTAAAAAAATAATTACCTATCTATAATTTTATTTTTCCATAATCTATTGTTGAAAATATAAAATAACTTGGACACTGGAAGTATAAAAATAATAATTTGTTTAAGAGGACGTCGCAGTCAAATATTTCGAGTATTAAAACACCGCTTCGGACTTCAAATAGTACTCAGAAACTATTAATCGTAGAATAAATCTAAGGATACCTAAAGAAAGCCTGGAATGTCTACTATGTGCGTATAGAGCCATATTTCCAAAAAAAACTGTTTACTTATAGTTATTTCAATAAGAATTTTTACTTTTTTCAAACGTTCATAAAACCATTGTAAATAAAGTTATCGAAAAAAACTCTCTATAGGCACGTAGAAAAAGTTCTGATCTTTCATATGGTACTATAAACAATTTTCTACCACCAAAAGCGTACGAGTACTATTTGAAGTGCGAAGGGATGTTTTTTGAATTTTTATAATAATTATTACGTCGAGAGCTGGCGCGCCTAGCGGCCAATTTACTACATATCTTTATACGTTCGGAAAACCGGTTTTAGGCCGACTGCCGTAGCGCGGCGACAGCGATAACGTCAACGGTGACACCGCAATTATATTATTACCTGTAGTAAAAACAGATAACCCAATTTTTAACAATCAATTCTCAATAACAAACAAATATTATATTTTACTTGCGCAGCGATACTGTTATTTAATATTTGCTATTTTATGTTCATTATTTTATAGAGAATTAGCTGAAGAAGCCAGTCGCTAAGTCACTTGTATGAAAAAGGTAGCAATTGTAGTAAATTATAATTTGTAAAAATTGTGATTTAAAAAATGGTTTAGGGAACGGGGGGAGGGAGGGGGGTTATTGCACACTGTAAAAAAAATCGGAAAAATATTCAAATACCTCTACGAAAAACCGAAACATTGTAATACAATGTTTACACCCCAGACCAAAATTAGTGTGGGGCCCCCTCCCCTCCTCAGACCAAAAATTGGAAATTTTTAAGTTGCTATGTGTAAATTAACAACAGTCAATTTTTAGTTGCAATAAATCATATAGATCAGTAATGTATTTTAAACAACATTTTTATTTTTGGGGGGTCTCCATTTCTTTTTTGTATTACCTGGTGTCCGTAATTTCTATATTCTTATTTTTCGTAAAGACGGTTTTTTACTCTCAATCTAAGCCACCCCCCTCATTCAACGCCGACCACTAAAAACGTATTTATCTAACATAAATATTTGAAAAATGAATTTGTCAAACGTTTTAAGTGCCAAAGTATAAAAATTGAATTTTATAATTTAAATTGTATTTTATCCATTACCGGTGTAGTGCACCGGTCGGATGATCGCGTACAAAACACCGTAAACGACCAACGTTTGAATAAGTTAAACTTTTGAATTAATTGTAATAGACATATAATAATGTTTAATAAATTTGATATAATAATAATGTTTAATCAATTTTGAAGTTAATAACTGAGTAGTGCAATCAGTCCTATCGTTAATTGACTACCGACTACTCGATGCCGTCGCTCTACTCGAACATAATCAAATAACCAATTAAAAGAATAAAGTATAATTAAATTATTACAAGGGGACACCCATTGGTCACGTCTTAGTGACCATGCATAGACGCGAAAGGAGGACATGCCTTTATAGGGACCCATGTGCACTACGTGGGTTTACTACACCGGAAAGAATTTTGTAAATTTCAAGTAAGGAATAGATATTTATTAAAAAAAAACAATCATATTTAAAACTCAAAAATATGTTATGTTTCCGCTAGTGAAATAAAAAAAAAACAAATTATAAAGTTCAATTTTTATACTTTAGCACTTGGAACGTTTGACAAATTAACTCTTCATTTATACTATAATTTATTTTTCTATATAATAAACAATTTATAAATTAAAGAGTATTACTCACAATATATTTCAATTACGATTTCGTATTCTATTTTTTTTTTTTTTTTATAACAAAGCTAAATTCCGCAATAATGTTGGTGGTGACCACCATAATTTTCGGGATAACAACAGATAATCTAAGCTTATCTAATTATATTATTTATAAATATTGTAGAAATATGACTTTATTTGGGAAATACTGTATTTTTGTTGCACAGAGAAGCCACATTTTCATTTTTCCTATTGTGTTGTGTGTTTTATAGATAAAAATTATAATACAAAATTTACATATGTACACATTGTTTTTTTATGAAATAGTATTAGATTTATATATAATTATTATTTAATGAAATAAATAATAGAATATTATATATGACCCGTCCAGCACTTAAAGTTTATAACGGATACTCGTACCATTATACAATTATTATTCGATTGATGAATTTTTATAAACATGTTTTCAATTATTAATTTTGGATTTATAAATGAATTATCAAAAAGCTGAAATGTTTTACATAAAATACTGATTTTTTAATGATTTTGTTTGGTGACCTATAATACTATAAAAAAAAAACAGTAAAAAAGAAAAAAAACTAAAATATTCATTACGACCATGGCCAATATAGGCTAAGCAAATTTGGAAACACGTTTTTTATTGTAACAGACATGCAAAATAAGTATGCTCCAATATAAATGTTAATAAGTAAGTACGCTATACGAGGTACCAAGTTTATTCGGATATCTGAGAAAATTATTTATACGCTAAAAAAAAGTAATTAAGTTATCAGAATGATTCAAACTATGATGGGTATTGTATTTTCTACTCTGTCCATTGTTATATAAATGTTAATGAACAGTAGCTATAAAAAAGATTTACTCGCGATTGTAACACGCGCGCGAGCTCGCGAAGTAGCGAATGTTTACCGCGACGAATCATACGTTCCCAGCATAATATTAGTTTTTACTAGATCGGCAGTCGGTGATAGAATAATGTGCCGCTCTGATAATACTACAACGCGCCGCCGCAGCACTCGTATGGGCGTGACTATAAACCACCGCCGCCGCCGCGCCGAGACGGAGAATAACGCCATCTCTCGGGAGTTGTATACGTAACACTTTACCTGCGACGTCCTCTTAAAATTAAATTTAAAAAAAATGAATACTAATTAAAAGTGTTCTTAAAACTCATTAAGTTGATAGTATAACATACTTAAATTATTGAAATGATAAAACTTTTAAGAAGAAGATCAGTTCGATTAGCTTGTTTAACTAACTCTTTTAAAGTGTTTTTTTTGCGACTTCAATAGTTTGTACTTTTCTTGATAAAAATCAATTTTGTCTATACGTATGATTGCTTTTAATCATACGCTTTTGTACATACAAATTTAACTTGATTATCTTTTTTAACTAACTGTCTAAAAATGGTCTCTTTGCGACTTGTAGATGGGTATACATATAATATACAGGGTGGCTGCGAAAATATGACAAATGATATAACTTTTGTTCTAGTGAATATTTCAAGTTTTTTTTTTAAAAAATAATTTATACTCATTTACGTTATAAGCACCACGGTTTTTATTGCACTTAGCTGTTTTATTTTTTTAAATAATTTTTTTTTTCGTTACGTTTTTGTTTTTATTTTCAAGATGGCCATTTTATTTAGAATAGTTTTTACAAAAGAATTAGTGAACAAAAATTGTATTTTTATTCATACATTAAAAAGTTATACTCATTTGAAATTGATGAAAATTTGAAATTTTCTCTCCGCGTTTATTGTGTCGGCCATTTAAACGTGTTATTAATTCAAAATTGTTCATCTTTCCATTTTACCAATGCTTTTTTTTCTGATTAAACGGATACTTACAATATAAAAATGATTGATATTGGACTAAACACACTCGTATAGACGTATTTTGCAGGGAGTTTATAGACGTTGAACACAGAATAGATAACGTTCTTGAAATTCCGACAGTGATAAACAATTTTATAGGGTAATCAGTACAGTACAATAACGGATGAGCCGGTGAGTGTATTTTCCGTAAATATTATGTTGTTATTAAAACATATTCTACTAAATATTTAGTAATTAAGTTGTATTATTCGGTCAACACAGTCAGATATCATTAACATTAATTTCGTTAATAAAATGTCATTTAAAGCTATTATAAAGTTTAAATGGTCCTTGTCGATAGTCAGTCTAATCAAACAACTCTATAGTATCACATAAAACCGCACCGGATTATGTGTTGTCACTCTTTGAATTCAAAATATTGAAATATGGTTCTAACCCAAAGAAGTATTAAAGTTACACGGTATGTACGACTATTATTTATTACTAGCTGTGTCAGTTAAACAGCAATTTGTAATTAGTACGTTCTGTCTTTTCACAGAAACTTTGTTATAGCTATGTACTTGTATTTACTTTTTTGTTTCAGTTTTTCATTAAATGCAAATCTAATTTGTTTCATGGGTTATAGTCTAGCATTTGTGCTTTTCCATACTTGAGTTCTCAAAGGACACTTTTAATCAACTTTTTAAATCATCATCATCGTGCATCTTAACAGGCCACGATGACCCAACCATCATGAGATGGTTACTAGATGGATTCGCTATCCGTAACAGGCTGTCAGTCCATCGCCAGAGAGAAGGATGGCGGCTCCTTTTTACTAGATAATTGCTCGCCAAGCAAATAAAGGGCCCGTGACCGTTATGTACCGTGAATTACAAAATATGTTACAATTCTAGATGTACATTTGTTACAATTTGTTACAATATTTTGTTTTAAAAATTAAATTCGTACTTTAGCGTACTTGAATGTTTAACATCACCAATCTCAAAAAGAATGTAATAGTATTGTTATATGATGACCACGTTATCAGTATAGGTTACGTGTTTTTTAAATAAATGCGGGCAGTGCTTCCGGCGACTTGAGACTGATGACCAAACGATTAATTTAACAATAACGCTGAATTGCAAATTGTAAAACAAAACTGAGATGTATACGGAAAAGGTACAAATTGTAAGACACATTTGAAAAAAATACAACTTCATAACTATTCATTTTTGTATTATACTTTCGCTTAATTTGTAAATAAAACTAAACTATTTAAAAAAAAAATAAGAAGATACAATTTTATTATATAATTGATAAATGATAATGTTTTACGGAAAATGAGTTATCAGTTTTTGTCTTTTAAACACCGATTACACTTAATAAAGTCATCCGACAAAACTTCCCTGAACAACGATTACAACGTAAAAAATCTTTAATAAAGCCAACCAGATATCGACATTAAGTCACACCGCAAAATTGTTTATCACTGTCGGAATTTAAAGAATGTTATCTATTCTGTGTTCAACGTCTATAAACTCCCTGCAAAATACGTCCATACGAGTGTGTTTAGTCCAATACCAATCATTTTTATATTGTAGGTATCCGTTTAATCAGAAAAAAAAGCTTTGGTAAAATGGAAAGATGAATAATTGTGAATTAATAACACGTTTAAATAGCCGACACAATAAACGCGGAGAGAAAATTTCAAATTTTCATAAATTTCAAATAAGTATAACTTTTTAATGTATGAATCAAAATACAATTTTTGTTCACCAATTCTTTTTAAAAAACTATTCTAAATAAAATGGCTATCTTGAAAATAAAAACGAAAACGTAACGAAAAAAAAAAATTATTTAAAAAATAAAACAGCTAAGTGCAATAAAAACCGTGGTGCTTATAGCGTAAATGGGTATAAATTATTTAAAAAAAAAAAACTTGAAAATATTCACTAGAACAAAAGTTATTTCATTTGTCATATTTTCGCAGCCACCCTGTATATATCAAATAAAATTTACAAATTCAAATTTTTCGGGGGCTATCTTAGAGATTTAAATTTCGAAGCCCTTATGACGGTAAAGTGCCGATAAAGTGTTTTCGATTATTCATTAAATTCTATAAATTTTGAAAGTGTACATTTTAGTATTGCCCAGAATAATTGGTACGATAATAATAATCGAAGCATTACCAACCTTTTTGTTGTAAACCTTGAAAGTTTTTGTTTTGTCGTGTCTTTATAATATACATTCACAGTAAATGCGCTGAAAATATACAACGGGGTCACAATAACATTATTTACAAGAGAGGCCACAAGAAGTTAATACATCAGGCGCCTTTAAGAAAACCGGTGAACGCATATCAAATAAAATATTAGTACGGTTTTGTATCGACAAAATCGCAAAGACAGTATTATAGCTAAAACTTTTTCATGTAAGCATTATACGAGTGATGGTAAAACCAATAACTGCGAAGAAAAAAAAATTAACTCTGCGACATAGATAAGTATTTAAAAAAAGTACAACAGCTATGTAAATAAATTAGCATAGGCCCCTTGAAAATATATTAATATTTTATTGTCGAAAACAAATTTGAAACAGTTAAACGAGCTCTTACTAACAAATTATTATTTCATATTTTACATAGGTATAACTTCCAGCTTGAAAAATTGTAAGGACGCTTTAAATCAGGTATGAAAACATTTAAAAATATGATTATGCGTATTCAAGAAAAAAAATTGCATTTTCATTTCTAAAATTGAGTGTATAATAAAGTCTTCTTAAAAGACAACTCTAATAAGAATGATTAATAGTTAAATAATAAGTTAAAAATTTAGTTTGTTTATTTATTTGACTAATAATTTTTTATTATATTTTTTAGTTATTTGAGTAATTGCATTTTATATTTATTATTTCACTACGCAACAAGTTGTACAACTGCTTGTAACTGTGACTTTTATTCCTACTATTATTATTATTGTTATTATGATTACTTTTCAACAAGCTAAAAAATAATATACAGTTTAGATTTTTAGCCATAAAAATGCGAACTACGGAAGTTCTAGAAAAGGGGGCTTTAATAGCTAGTTAGTCAAACCTTTGACCAGCCTAGTGGAAAATAATACAATTTACCAATTAAAATACATTGTTGTAAAGTCAAAACCTTTTCATCTCCTTGCCAGACCAGACTGTAGCTATTACAGATTGCTTTTAAATTTATTTTCAGAAAAAAATGAAACTTCTCTGTGTTTTAACATCATTCTTCCTTGTAAATGTTCTGGCATTAATTAACCTAAGTAATTATTTAAATTTCACACTAACCTACTTAAAGTAGTTGAAATTTAAATAAAACTAAACATTTTTTTACAGCACCTTTTAAAATGGAGGTAGCCATTACAAGTCAGTAACATTTTTTTTTTTTGTACAAAATAACAAAATATATTTTAATTTTACTGTTTTTTTTCATAATTAAAAAAAAAAAATACTGCAGACGTATACATCCAGGACGCTTTTGACAATAGTGATGAAAATGGAAGTAATATATATGTATTTTAAGCTAACATACTAGTACACATATATTGACATGAATATGTGTTACCACTGGGGGTCATCCTGAAAATTTGTCCGAAACGTAACGCGATGTGTCACACTCATCGGGGGCAGAGCTGGATGAATGGTAGGGGTGGGGAGGAGGTGACGCGACGGCTGTGGTTTTTTGATTGCAGGTGTGCGTGCGTGCATTTTACTTTTGTCGAGTGCGTGTATATATGTATAATATATATCATACAATAATATATGTATAATATGTGTCATATTATAATAATACAAGCTGTTGTCCCGTCTCGGCGTTGCCCGTGTATTATAACAGACACACAATCAGCTGATCGGATCACTGTATCCCTGTGGTATGAAAAACCATAGAGATGTATTGATAACTATTGATACTATCGATAATCATAGTTAACCATGTTCTATCGGATCAAATTTTGATTCTAAACTGTTCGGGCGTTATCGCGGCTGCCACACACACCACCACCTGTGCCCAACACCACCGACCGTACCGTATCATTACCAATACTAATACTACTACTATTGTTGTTACCACGCCGTCGTATTTCTCTTGAATTGGACCGTTTGTTTGCCTTTGAGTTCACTTATTCGACCGTTTCGAATTGTACGGACAATCTTCGATACCTATCGACCGACCAGCCTGCCGCACCTGGACTTGTACCCACTGTAAATATACCTATTTGATTTGCATTCTTGTATTATACTATGTTAGTTGTTAAGTAATAAACTTATTAGCTGTAAACTTTAGCAAGCTGGCCAGTGGATAAGATCTTATTGTATAATATAGTTGTTTTCTCTGAACAGTAATTTTGTTATAATAATTTGGTTCTGTGTTATTTGTTGTTTGAATCCCCTATACCGTCCATTATATATATTTACCGTGCATAAACCTTTCTCGAATCAACTTCATCGCGCGCACAAAATTTCATAAATATCTGTCCAGCCGTTTAGGAGGAGTTTGCATACATTCACACGAACAGAAGAAATTTATACACAAAGAGGTATTAATATATTGTATTATAGATATACGCCATGTGCGAGGGTTGATCCGCTGAACAATGGGACGAAATGAAAACTACCTCGCATAAATTAATACATTTTACCCATTTTTTAAATATTTTACATCAATTTATAAGTTTTAAAGGCCAATGACTCAAATTGAAATTTTGTAAAAAATTAGGAATATTAAAGAGTAAAAAATATTGGAACACAAGGGGTATATGTGTATATATTTCAAGAAAATCAAGCTCAAATTTCACGTGTTTCCACTAAATCACAATACAAGGATATTGTTTTGTTTGTTAATCCAACCAAGTGTCTGCTTGGAATTTAATCAAACTACGTTTGGAAAGGAATAAAGTTAAAAAGCAGGTAGCTTGTGGTGGCAACAGATACGTATAATATTATGATTGAATTGTGTTCTCTATACCGGGTGATTGGTTAACTATGTACCAGTCAATAACTTAGAAGATATTAGACTTTTTTTATAATTTTATGGTTATTAGTCCTCCTAACCCCCCTAGTTGGGGACTAATTTAAAAACTGATGCAACATTTTGGTTCAGCGGTCTTTAAAACTTATAAATTGATCTATATGGCTGTGATCTAAATGCCGATTTACGCGAACCAAACGGAGCCGAATTAGTCGATATCATGAGTACCGATCGTAAATAACGATGTAAATAGAAAATAAGTGTAAAACAAGTTTTGGATTCCAAACAAAAAAAAATTAAAAACTATAAAAATAAAAAAAATCAGTTATTTGGATATACTTAAATTCAACATTTACTCTGCAATAAGACATCTATGTTCCTATGTATACACTTGTAGTGTGGATACTCGGATTTTTTCTTTTTGTTTTATTTCTTTTGGTTTTCTTACATTACACTTGTGACAATCTTCACTTTGAGTTTTAAAATTACTTGATTATTCCTGTTTACTTATTTTTTTCTTTATACTTTGTACTTTATTTTGTATTAATTAAATCATGGTTTAATGATTAAACCATTACACTTTAATTGAACTCTGATAATTTTTATATCCCATATGACTTTTTTTGCAATTTTTGTATAGCTTTAACATTTATTTATTTATGCTAGATGAATTGGAGCGTGTGATTGAAACAATGGTCGAAGAATCTGTAATCGGATATGGTAAAAATCACTATTTAATCTTAAAAAAACAATTCAAAAAAAGATTGCAAGTAGGAAATCGTATTTAAAAACTATACAAATGTTTAAAAAAAAAATCAGCTTTATGTAAATTTGTCAGTGATTCGTGTCATGCATAATTTGCAACCAAAATTTTACATTTCTTGTTGGAAAACGACACTAAGGTTGATTGTGTTAATATATATGTTATATATGTTATTATGCATATATTTTCCACCGTAATCTTTGTTTTCTAAACTATTATTGTTTACAAAATTAAGCTTAATACCATTAACTAATGTAATTTTAATTTCAGTTGTTATGAATTTTATGGTCACTGTACCGGGTAATTATTTTCGTTTTATGGAAATATTTTCACACACTTCTTTGATATTTATTATGTATAAAATGTTTTCGTAATCATTTCAGAACGTGCAAGCCTTACTAACGCTGACCTAGATGGTAACCACAATTATAGTTCCAAATTTGTATTGCAATTAATCATAAGAAACTTATATTATATTGAAAATTTTTTTTATTCAAATTTTAGAATCCATAGATCAACAGAGAGCTATGCAAGATGAAATAACTGCTGTTACCGGTAATTATAACATTTAACATTCCTAAGCGATCGTACAACAATTAAAAATTGATAAGAATTACTTTGATTTAAAGAAAAATTATGATAATTTTCATAAGTACTCAGATTTTATAGAAAAATTTTATTTATTTTTTATTGAATTTATTGTACTTGAAATTTTACTGAACTTTAACAATTGTCTCCATTTTTTTTTCAAAAACTTCAAAAGCATTTAGTTAAACTTTAAACGCGTTTTTTAAAAACGGTAACAACTATATTTTCAAATCCACTTGACGGATTCCATGAAATTTGTACAGAAAATTCCAGATAACAAAAACTAGTGCTAAATCGAAGGATTATTTGTTAGAGAGCGTTCAACAGTTAAGCACATATCTTTGTCAAGACTGCATATTTTAATTTTAAATGTATGTAAAGTAGTGTTCAAACTTGGTATTTTATGTCAAATAAAAAATTATACTTCAGTTAATAAATATTGCTTTAAATTTCTATTTTTCCAACATCGACTTTTGATGATCGTTCGAAATACAACTCCAATCGTTCATACAAACGTTGCTGTTAGAGTTAGTTTAATATGAACACAATATTTTCCAATGATTAATTATTGGTCTTTTAAATCTCGCTTTTAGCTTGACTCTTATGAATACAATTTAAAAAAAAAATGGTTTTTATAAACTGTATAACTATTGGATATTCCATATATTTCTTACAGGTCTTCCTATACCTGATGTTCCAGATCAAGGTAATTTCGATTTATTCAATAGTAATAAATAAACCTTCAGGCTTGTTTTAAATCCCACAATTGTATTTGTATTTTGTCTGTGCACGATAAATGAAACAAAGTAAACTTTTAGTTGGAAAGTGTGTGAGACTAACTATAATATTTTGAATGTCATAAATACATTTTCACCTACTCACAACATAACAAATAAAAATAACTTTAGTTATTTTCTCCGATTTTTGGAAAATTATTTAATCATGGATATGATTTTAGCATTACGGCTTCCTATCAAAGTGAAATGTTTTTACAATTAATAAAAAGTATATAATTAAATGAAAATTAAAAACTCAAAATGTTACCGACCACTATAGCCGCCGATCCCTAAATAGTATCGAAACTTAAATCTCTAAGAGGGCCCACAAAAAATTTGATTTTGTACATTTTGTATATTTAACAAACGATTTTACAGTAGTTTTATGTGTGTATATTATAACATACATATTAGAATGAACCAAAACAACGTTTTAGGTTTCTTCTTGTTACCATAATAATTTGTTCTTTTGGTCCAAAAAAATGTTCCTAAATAAAAAAAAGAGATGAGAAATTGCATAGAGAGCAACGAATTTTGACTAAGAGGTTTTTAAAAAAAATTATATTATTAGGTGAACTAACATAATCAAGTAACACGATTTTTCCGTCTACGACGAAACTTCAATAAAATTGTATATATATTTTTTTGTTTCCTGTTATAAGTATGTAAGTCCCAGCACCAACTGCGTTTCAATCCGCTAAATAATTTAATTAAAAAAAATAATATTTAATAATTATAAGCAAAATTATTAGCCCTGCAAGATGACGCTCATCAGTACATTGCACATTCCACACATAAGACCCCAGTACTTATGCCTAATAAATATTGCCATTCTAGTGCGGCGGGTTTGTTGGTCATTTTCCAAAATTAAAACTCTAATTAAAACCTCAAAGCCAAGTTCATAACTAACTTAATTTTTTTCTTAATTTTTGCAGATTTTGCAAACTTAAACTTGTCCGAACTTGGAGATGCGAGAAGAGTTCTTACTAAAGAAGCTTTAAAAAATATCATCATCCGAGCACTAAGTAAATATTATTTTAGAGTAATAATGGTACAGCGTTTTTAACATTAAAACATATACAATATGTTATATACTATTGAAACAATACATTTATAAATATAAAATCATTTTTCAATAAGAATTTATTAATAGTAATAATAATAATAATGCATTTTTTAGAACATAATTATCATAGATTAATTATAATCACAGTAACACACAAATTTTTTTTTTTTTATTGTAATTAATGTATAGATCACTCAACATATAATAAATTATATTGTATGTTGTCCTAACATACAATTATTGTAAATATTTTTATTAGAATATGTCTTTTAATTTGAGTTCTTGCTCTTCATTGCTTATGGACTGTATTTATTGGCAATATTTAAAAAAAAAGTAAATACATCTTATTTGATTTCATAACTTAATAAGTGATGAGTAGAGTACGAAATTTGTATAATAACTAGTCATCATTTACATACTTACGTTTAGTAAAATACACAGAGTTATATTGAATAATTTAAAACATCAGCTTAATGTAAAATAAGTTTTTCGATACACGATAGGTTATGGTATACTGAGTGTCCACTGCATTATTGCTTTTCATCGAGTTTGTGCAGCATTTCTGTACAACATAGATACTAATTAAATATTATATATATATATATATATATATATACATATATATTTATATATTTTATACACGTTCTGCACAACAAAATAAAGTGATTGTTTTTTTTTAAATTTTAGATGCAAATGAACCAATTGTAACTGGAATCCAGATAATTAAGTTTGGTCAGTTGTGTCGTTTTATAGGCTTATGGATGAGTACGCTAGACCCATTATTATATATAAAAGCTACTAGAATTGAAGTTATTTTTAATATGTGTATCTTAACAAATACAGCCGATCATGATATAAAATATAGAAAAATTAATGATGAATTTTGTCTGGTAGACGTTAATAACATTGATAATAAATTAATAGAACTTGTGGTGCAGTTATCAATACTTTAGACTGGTAGTCAAATGTTTAACTCTATAAAAATGTTACGTTAAAATTACTATTATATTTTAATATATTTTACGTAGTGCACTAAAATCTACATTGTAAACGAATCAAATGTATTTAATAATAAACAGTATTTCATACTTTTATTGATTTCACTCATTACTATTATTATTATAACTACTTTTGCGTGTATAGGGCTTTATTTTGTAAGAAAGTAGATTTTTAGGCTTGGTTTTGTTGTTTTTGCGAAGGATGGTATTGCGTCAATGCATTTAGTTTTATTTTTTTGAAAGCAAAAAGTCCCTAATATCGATGACAAAGGGTTGTCCCACATATGGGGTGGAAACGTCCCACTTTTCGGATTAATGGGATTATTTTTTTATCAATACCACCCAACAACCTCCCTGAAATGGCACTCCCTGATAAGAATCCCAATAATAACATCCTAATTATGAACCGATAAGAGGATGTAGATATAAGAACAGGGACTAGCAAAGAATACACGGTTTTTTATAAAAAAAAAAAAAAAACAAGAATTCATTAGTTTTATGTGTAAAAAAAAACTGTAATGTATATTTAATATTGTCAATGAGTATTATTGTACTGAAAAAAAAGTATTGAAAGCATTGTATTCGACAAGTTTATCGTGTGGGATAAGGCAATAAGCGGCAGTCGACTCTGGTACATTGTCTTTTGTTGTAAAATCGATGCGTAATTCGGCAGGTGAAGTTTTGATCAAATCGTTTTGTTGAGTACAATCAGCAATAAATAAAGACGCCATATCATTAAAGTAAATTTTGCGCAATCCAGAGTGTAAGCCCGGGCTATCGACCGCTGTGCTGTAATATGAATTTACAAAAGCCATACACATAAAAGCCATATTTTGTTTGTAAGCTTGTTCCCATTGGGGACTTCAGACAGGTGCCGATTTAAATTCGTGTTTATCGTAAAGATCTTTCTGCGTAACCAACAGGGGAAAGATATTTTTACAATAAGCTGTCGTACTGGATTCCAGGGAGATTGTAGGATTGATAAAAAATAAATCCCGTCAATTCGAAAAGTGGGACGTTCACACCTCATAAATATATAAGTAATCACACATAAACTAGAAATAAGTTTTTGTAGAAAAATGTACAAACTTAACTTTTTTAACAAATTTAAAAACATTTAACATAAAACCAAATGTTTGTATAAAAAATTAAATTTTTGCATCGAAAATAAGCATATTAAAAATTTACTTAATTGAATATTAGAACAAAGGAGACATAAGAAATGGGGGTTATGATGAAATTGAATTTTTAAACAACTGTCGGATAAAAACATCAACTATTTTCCAGGAGGTTAAAGTTAAAAGTTGAATGGTTATCAAACGTACGGTTTAGTATATTATTAAATAGTTTTGTTTTTTTCAGAATTTTTAATGTAGTTAAGAGTTTTAAATAAAATTACTGCTATCCAAGTTTTTGATTTTTTTTTTTTTGCTTTTGTGTGTGCAATTATTATAACAGCTTGATAGGTTAAATTATCAAATAGTGTAATAAATCATCATTCGACAATATTCTACAATAGGAATACGCGCGCACAGATATTTTAATTGTTTTTTCAATTGTCTTCTTTTGAATATGTACAAAACATACATTAAATTATTCTTAAGCGACGTGTACGTTTAATGACTACAATGACGAATAGTTTTAACTGTTTACCATTTTGGTTTATTATTGTTGAAATAATAGTTAATATTGGTATAAATTACGATGAGCCATAATTTTGAACCTAGATCTAAATTATTATAACTGTTCTTGAAGTTTTACTATACGATGGTCAATGTCATCGACGTCTACTTGATAATATATGCCATCAAAGGATCTGTATTTTTTAACGCAGTTATCTTTATCTAGTAAAATGCAAACACCATTCTCGCCGTCTATTGAAACATCTTTTATATAGTGGCTTGGTATTTTTGTACTCGTCCACAATCCAATATAGGTACACAGCTGCACTAAAGAGACATCTGGTTTGTTTCCATCTGAAAAATTAGAAAACATTTTTTTGTTAAATTTCCAAATATTCCAAATATTTTTATAAATATTAATATTAATATTTATTACTATGTGCTACTTTTTATTATTGTGCAAGCTACAAGTATAACAGGTAGAAAATAAATTATAAAGAGTAATACAATATACATGGCATCTGTATTGAAGTACTTTTCAACAATAACTTCTTTAAATGACAGAAACACGGACGTACAGTATAGGAACTCAGAAGTTTTATGTTAATGTATCGCATAAGCGACGGCCCCTATAGGCAATTAAATGAAAAGAACTAGATTATAAGGCCAAATTCTAATGGTAATTTTTACAATAATTGTATATTCGGAAAACATAGTTCAATATAAAAATAATGTGATGTGTGAGTTTTGTAATTTTATTACAGTAAAAAATTAATTTTTACTGTAATTAGAATTCATCTACGATATTAATTATGTTTGTAAAATAAGTATTATTATCAATTATTTTATACACGCAATAATATTACCAATATAACTCGGTATAATAGTGTTTACCTAGTGCACGGATGATTAAATTCTTTAAAGCTGCTTTAGAAAATGTTCTTCTCTTTTTTCCAAGATCACTCAATTTTAATATTTGAACAACTGTAAAATTATATGATGAACTATGTTATCAAAAACTTTTTGTACAACCTGACATTAGTATTGAAACTCAAAAAAGTATTTATTCTATACACGATGCTCAGAGAATATATAACACATTAACATTGTATTAAACTTTAAGTAGATAAGGAGCAAAATAAATTCAGCTTGGCCTTTTGTTATAAACAACACCTAAAGAGAAAACTCTTGGAAGAATCTTGGCTAAAAGAAAGTTGATATCTTCGTTGGTTAAACGTATGAGACGAGATATAGGAGCATTAGCATCTTCGTAGTTACATATAAAAATAAAAAGACTTGAACGAATTTTTGCAAAGAACGGGGTAATTAAGTTTAATGTTAACGAGATTAAGGTCCTTAAAGTATATTTACTACTTATCTAATTATTTTGAAATTACATTTATCTTGAACTTCAGGTATAGGAATAACTGAAACAAAAAAAAAAAATATGAAATAATTATACAGATCATTCAAACCGATTTTATATTTTATCTATAACAGTCACTTTAAAACTGAAATTAATTAGATCAGTTAACCAACGCAATAGTTTTTGTTTCCATTAAACTAATTGTTATAGTAATGTTATAGTGGACAATTCAATTTGTACTTCGAATGATTTCCAAAATCTTAAGCGACATAGATGTGTAGTTTATAATATTATTAGCTATAAAACAGGTGGCTTTTAATTATAATCGAATTTCTATAGTATTTAAAGTTTCTAGAAATGTTAAATTTTATATTTACATAATTCAACTGTTATTTCTGATTGCAATTTTCTCTGAACTAGCACACATTCTGAAATTAAAAACAAATTACATTTTAATGTACTTGAACCTTATGACCAAAACCATTATTTAATTATTTTTAATATATATGAATAATGAATCTGTGTATGTATATTATAATGATATACAAAAAATGTATTTACCATATATTTTGTCAGTTGCTGCAAATTCTAAAATTAACACAAAAGTATGTAATACTTAATGAATACAAAACAACTGAAGTAAAATATTTTAATAATATGCAACTAATGATATTACCCGGTATAGTGAGCATTAAATTCATTGTGTCTGAAACGAACAGTGCATGCATATTTAAGCTATTGTATTTAATTTTCAGTTTTAAAGTTTAAAGAAGAAGGTCAAAGTAGAAGAAACTTGTAAATTAGAAATTTGGGATAAATGAGCTTGACTAAATTAAATATAGTAGAAACTTTATGTCAATACCAGGCGATTCTTTTAATGCCTTAAACTAGTTTTTTTCTTAAAATAAGTTTATAGTTTTTCTTTTTAATATATATTTGTTTATGTTATATTACAATATTAGAAAACATTTAAATTTGTATGTTCTTTTCTATTTACTAGGGCTTTATCAACTTTTGAAATTTAAATGGTGAAGTACCATAATATATAATTCTACTGGTCAATAACTAGTTTTGAATAATTATTTTTAATGTTTAAAATTTAGAATGGGTAGTGGAGTACTAATAAAGATAAAATTTGGAATTTTATCCAATATTAAAATATAGACAAACAAAAAAACCAGTACAGTGGGGTCGGGGCATAGTGGGGACGGAGCATAGTGGGGACGGGGAGGTCACAGGTTTATAGGAATTTTTAAATCTGAAAGTGATAAAATCACTTTCGAAAAAACGCTTCGATGCAAATCGGTAGTTAGTATTTTCAAGGCAGTACAATCTAAACCAAGCACAGTGTAAGCTAGGAAAGTTAGAAAGTAATAAATTGAATCGGCCAATTCAAAAACGACTTAGGTCACCGATTTTTCAAAACTGTCTTTTTATCAAATGTAATAATTATATACTTAGCTACGTATTCTGTGTGAAAACTCAATTTGTCAGACTCATATTTAATACAAATGTTGAGTACAAGAAATTTGAATCACTGCAAAATATATTTATGAAGTTTCTTGTGGCTAGTGTAATATTTCAAATTTGTGACTTGTGTCGTTTTTTAAATGACTGATAAAATTACAAAATAGAAGCATCAAAGCGTTTATTTGAAAGCGATTTTATTCAATTTTATCACTTTTATTTATAATAATTCTTGTAGACCTGTGACCTCTCCGTTTCCTCATTGCTTTGATTACATTATGCCAATACTCTACTATACTAGTCCTCTCGGATAAAATCACTTTCAAATTAACGCTTTGATGCTTCTATTTTGTAATTTTATCAGTCATTTAAAAAACGACACAAGTCACAAATTTGAAATATTACATTAATATATTTTTTTTTTTTAATTAATTTACAACAAATTTATGAATATTCAGGTTTTTTTCGTGAGAAGTTTGAAATAGGTTTAATAGAAATAAAAGTAGAAAAGAAGATAATATTTATTGTGACCAAGGTGGAAGAAGGAAAATGAAATAGTGATTTTTCTGGGCAAGTCAAGATAATCATTATTGGTTATAAATTATTATTTATACTTTTTAGTTACAAAAGGGAGAGGTGAGAGCAATTTTTTTGTTGGCTATCTGAGGAACGCCGACCTGGACAGATATTAAATTTCAATAATTTCAAGAAAAGATGTACTGAAAATGTATAAGTAAGCAATTTTTACTAATAATAATTGTTTTATGCACTTGAATGTGCACTTGTGAGATTAGGTCAGAGGAAACCCGATTTTTAAAAGAAGAATACCAGGAAAATGAAAGGAAGAGTTCACTTTTTTTTTACAATATGTAAATAAAAATAATAATACTCGGAACGACAGCGGATTGACACTCCGGATCAATTTTAAATCAATAACTGATAATCGAATTATCGAATACTGACTGGCAACTACCTACAAATGTCATCACCCCCCGACCTCTCTCTCACACTCCATGACCGGCTCGGGCCGATAAGGGGTTTTTCGTTCCCACCTGTACCGTGTACATAAGACGGTGGACAGTTGATAACGCGATCGGGCGTTTATATGGTCACGATCGAATATTATTTTGTCTCGAAAATTGATAATTACAACAACTATACACTATAGTATAAACAACTCATGTTATCATTTCTCACGTAATGGCTGCCAATTAAAATTAAATTAGTTACTTAAATTAAATTCAGTCATTCCGCAAAAAGTTCAAGTCCAAATCGATTTTATATCAACTGTGACTTAATAAAATCCACACCCAGTTAGTTATATTCTGTTGACAAATTGTTTTTTATTAAATAATGAAAATTGATAAAATAAACATCAACTACGTCATAAAAGTTTTATACAGCGCAATACAAGTTACAACCAGAATAAAAACTAGCGTTTTTGTAGAGATTTAAAAATACTATTTGAAACGACATACAATATTTTCTATCATAACTGATTTCATAATTCATTACGGAGCAGATAAGAGCGCGCATCAATATGCCGTTCGTACACACGATGATGCCAATAGAACAAAAAATTATACTTTTTTTTTTTCGTTTCTCACATCTGGTAGAGTGCGTTTGTACTTAAAAAAAAAAAAAAAAAAAAAATTGAACTTTGTGTCAACTTAAAGTCAAAAGTGTTACTTGAGCACAAAACTCAATAGTATCATTCTGCATAGATCTACATAAAATTGTTTTAATGATTTGATAACAATTTTTTTAAGATTTTAAGTGTTTTTTGTTAAAATATACGCAATCTGCGAAAACACAGTTTTCCGGCTATTAAAAAAAAACTGTAGTGCCGAATTATTTTTCCGTTTAATATGTTATGGATACATATGAGTTCCAACTACTGGCAAATTTTCAACCCAAAGGTCTTAAAACTACGGCTAAAAACCCCGAAAAACAAAAAAACCTGTACCCCCCCTAGGGGGGTGGGCATTGGGTTAAATTCAAATTTGATATAACTGACGTGCGCGGGCATACTAAATAAATATTTCTTATAAATTTCAACTCGATCCGACTCTTTTTCTCGAAGCTATAGCCAGTAAAAGTTCTAACTTAAAAACTCGTACGGTTTTTTTTTTGTTTTTTCAACTTTCGCCTGTGAAGAGTTAAACTTTTTCAACTTTTACCCCCCCAAAGTACCAACTAGATGAAAATTGCGATTCATAGAGTTGCTATTCGAAGGAATTGGTCCAGTATTAAAGAAGTTACAGTGTATACAGATAAAAAAAAAACATACATCAGAGTAAAACCAATACCTTCTCGCTTTGCATCGAAGCTAAAACATTTTTCTGGATTTTTGTGAAAAAGGCATTAAAAGGGGTCAAATTATATGTTTTTGGGGTCGGTGATTACGAATTTGTTATCAGTTCTCAATTTTAATCAGCCAGAAAGAACTTAAGTAAAAAAAAAAAAAAAATTGAACTTTGTGTCAACTTAAAGTCAAAAGTGTTACTTGAGCACAAAACTCAATAGTATCATTCTGCATAGATCTACATAAAATTGTTTTAATGATTTGATAACAATTTTTTTAAGATTTTAAGTGTTTTTTGTTAAAATATACGCAATCTGCGAAAACACAGTTTTCCGGCTATTAAAAAAAAACTGTAGTGCCGAATTATTTTTCCGTTTAATATGTTATGGATACATATGAGTTCCAACTACTGGCAAATTTTCAACCCAAAGGTCTTAAAACTACGGCTAAAAACCCCGAAAAACAAAAAAACCTGTACCCCCCCTAGGGGGGTGGGCATTGGGTTAAATTCAAATTTGATATAACTGACGTGCGCGGGCATACTAAATAAATATTTCTTATAAATTTCAACTCGATCCGACTCTTTTTCTCGAAGCTATAGCCAGTAAAAGTTCTAACTTAAAAACTCGTACGGTTTTTTTTTTGTTTTTTCAACTTTCGCCTGTGAAGAGTTAAACTTTTTCAACTTTTACCCCCCCAAAGTACCAACTAGATGAAAATTGCGATTCATAGAGTTGCTATTCGAAGGAATTGGTCCAGTATTAAAGAAGTTACAGTGTATACAGATAAAAAAAAAACATACATCAGAGTAAAACCAATACCTTCTCGCTTTGCATCGAAGCTAAAACATTTTTCTGGATTTTTGTGAAAAAGGCATTAAAAGGGGTCAAATTATATGTTTTTGGGGTCGGTGATTACGAATTTGTTATCAGTTCTCAATTTTAATCAGCCAGAAAGAACTTAAGTAAAAAAAAAAAAAAAATTGAACTTTGTGTCAACTTAAAGTCAAAAGTGTTACTTGAGCACAAAACTCAATAGTATCATTCTGCATAGATCTACATAAAATTGTTTTAATGATTTGATAACAATTTTTTTAAGATTTTAAGTGTTTTTTGTTAAAATATACGCAATCTGCGAAAACACAGTTTTCCGGCTATTAAAAAAAAACTGTAGTGCCGAATTATTTTTCCGTTTAATATGTTATGGATACATATGAGTTCCAACTACTGGCAAATTTTCAACCCAAAGGTCTTAAAACTACGGCTAAAAACCCCGAAAAACAAAAAAACCTGTACCCCCCCTAGGGGGGTGGGCATTGGGTTAAATTCAAATTTGATATAACTGACGTGCGCGGGCATACTAAATAAATATTTCTTATAAATTTCAACTCGATCCGACTCTTTTTCTCGAAGCTATAGCCAGTAAAAGTTCTAACTTAAAAACTCGTACGGTTTTTTTTTTTGTTTTTTCAACTTTCGCCTGTGAAGAGTTAAACTTTTTCAACTTTTACCCCCCCAAAGTACCAACTAGATGAAAATTGCGATTCATAGAGTTGCTATTCGAAGGAATTGGTCCAGTATTAAAGAAGTTACAGTGTATACAGATAAAAAAAAAACATACATCAGAGTAAAACCAATACCTTCTCGCTTTGCATCGAAGCTAAAACATTTTTCTGGATTTTTGTGAAAAAGGCATTAAAAGGGGTCAAATTATATGTTTTTGGGGTCGGTGATTACGAATTTGTTATCAGTTCTCAATTTTAATCAGCCAGAAAGAACTTAAGTAAAAAAAAAAAAAAAATTGAACTTTGTGTCAACTTAAAGTCAAAAGTGTTACTTGAGCACAAAACTCAATAGTATCATTCTGCATAGATCTACATAAAATTGTTTTAATGATTTGATAACAATTTTTTTAAGATTTTAAGTGTTTTTTGT